GGGATGACATCGTGGATGCTGTGCTGTCTCTAAGCAATGCTGTCTTTATTTTCAAGAGTGCGTTTAGACAGAGCTGTATGATCAGAATACAGTCTAAGCTTGTTACAAGCGATGATGATGATGAATGTGAAAATTGTACATTCTTCTCAATCAGGATCAGTTAACAGTTTCCATTCAGAAACATTTAAATACCCTTTTGTCATGGTTTCATGGAGCCATACCATACTATGTTGCCAGTGATTTCATCTGTTATTGTTGGAGATAAGCATAAATCCAAAGTAAACACGTTACCACAAACCGAGCTGAACAAGGCTCAACTGTGCGTTTCGTCACCACTGAAGATTCAGATGTTGTTATGAAATCCATCAAGCTATGGATGCTATACTTTCAGGTAATCTAACTGGAAGTATTTTATCTTTTCAAAAACCCACTAGAGATATAGGCCCACTGTCTTTTTAAAACAGCCCTCACAATCTTCCTAACTAACACTTGTGAAACATATATCTCCTGAGAGTCATGTATGTCCTCTGAGGAGGAAGAAAAGTGTTGGAAAAGAGGACACTGGGTCATGTGTAAAGCAGAGCCACATGGAATACTAGTGGCAGAGCTAGGCAGCCATCTGTTAATACCAGAAGTCTCTAATTTCGGGGCCAACTTCACCATCCGGCGATGTACAGTAGCCGGCGCGCACCAAGCACAAGAACAAAGTGATATTTGTAAATGAATGAAAGGGAACATTCCTCATGCCTTGCTAGACCCAACACAAAGTAAAGGTCATCTGTCTATCATGTGTTCTTGCTTGGGAACTACAGAGGAGACCATGCTGGGAAATGTCTTGCTTTCTGGTATGCCATTCACACAAGGCCATATGTTGCTTACAGTACAGAATTGCTGAGTAAGCCAAAGAGCATGTCTGTGCCTCGGGATGTTCTTCTACAACATCAGCGACTGAAAAAATTATGTCATAGCGAAGGGGACAGGAATTCCCAAGTCACTTACTTAATTACTTACAATTACTGTATTTAAAGTGGATAAAATCAATGTTTTTATAATAACAATGGATTAAATTGCCCTTCAGTTTGAAAGGGTTCGCTTGTAGTGACAAACCAACAGAGAATAAGCACTTGAATCTCAGTTCCCTTCAGCTCTATGGAGCTTTATAACGTCTTTCAGCTCAGTGTTTTTGTTTTCCTTTCTTGAACTTTATGGACCGTTCAATGTCATGGCTCTCATAGTATTGTTGTCAGGCTGTAGCAGGCAGCTGTTTTCATAGAAAAAGCTCAGATAAACCCAGTGTACACTACCTGCTCAACACCAAACGGCAGAAACAGAAACAAACGGCACCAAACATTTATCAGATATTTTCCTCAGGAGCTGGTGGACCAAAAGTAGAGCTAAACCCAACCCCTAATGAATGCTATTGCTAACATGGCTCCATATCTGCCAAATGTGTAAATAGGCAACAGTTGGCTAAGTTCACCATATCAACTTAAAAGGTAATATGTCTATATTGTGTTTGTATTTCCTGCTGTCAAGAGCCCTAAAAATCAATTATTGAGGGTTTAACTACAATCTTGAGGGAATTTTTCTTCATAACATTTATCACTCTTTTTTTTTCACTCAGCTACTTACTATGTACCCAACAATTACTAAATTAGTTAAACGTATGGCACCACCAGCTCCAACATGAAAATGCTGCTTAAATGTTAATGAACAAACAATAATACTTTTATGTGATCAGAATACTCCACCATTTTACACACATACAAGTTTCTTTTTTGAAAGTGGTAAAAATAGATTTACCCTTCAGTGGATTAAAACAAAACAATCGCTGTTATTCATTTGAATCAATGAATAGTTATTGTGGAATTTGAGAATTCTGTGTCTTGTAGTCTTGCTGTTCTATGGGCCATTATGGCCGGGTAGTCCAGAAACAGTACTTCAGTGTTCTCAGCACCAGAAGTGGGATGGAGCATCATGATACAATATTCTGTCTGTTCAAGTTTGATTTGCAGTCCTTCCACTCTCTCTTTGTCTAAGCATTCCACTTCCTCATTGTATATTTATGGCAACAAAAACAACCTAACATTTGCTCTCCAAACATAGGCAATCGTCTACGTGTCTGTATTCTCAGAATAAGATAAGTTATAATAATTCTATGGTTTCCTTTCGTTTTTTGAAGAGGAGCATGAGACTCATAGATGGCAGCAATAAAACCTCCTTTCACCCTTAGGAGCCAGACTTTTAATAGTACAAAACATCAAACACAAGAAATCATTATCACATGACCTAAAAAAGAATAATAGCTAACTATGAATCTAGAGATTTTGGGAGCACATATTCATATATTTTATGCCATTGTGAATGGTGAATGAGAAATGTCCAGAGATGAGGCTTTGGTATTAGGCACTGGACAACTTCCAAGAACATGTGATGTAGAGAAGCAGGAAAAACAGGAATCCTCTAAACCCCAAAGCCTGCTGGTTTCAAACGAGGTCTGCATGTGTGGGCGGAAGAAAGATGTTATGAGTAGTTAAAGCCTTCCAAACTCTAAACCATGTCTGGGGTATTCCTTGCTCTTCGGGGGATTTTATACGTCTATAAATCATACTGAGCTGGGAAAAGGTTATGAAAACATCACGCTGTTGGCATAGCTTATTAACACAGTTTTAGGACAGTTTCATGGTGGATTGTGACTCTTGTGTGATCTAATGGTTTGAATGGATGATTTATAAATCAATAAAACAGTGGAGCAGTGTGTGTGTGTGTGTGTGTGTGTGTGCTCTATATACAGCCCCATATCTGCCTCACTCACTCTTAGCCAATGGAATAACCCATTTTACACAGCACACACACACACATACTCACACAAACACTGGCAGAATAAAACTGAATGAACGCAGTTACATAATATTTATAGCTTATTATTACCTATGCAAATCCCTTCTATCTCTGTCACTTTCAAAGGTTGGATATGACTGTTACACACAAAAAGGAAACAGGTCTTATGGTGGCTAATGTGTCCCTGAAATCCACATTACCAAAGGTGGCTCATATAACCGCAGTGTGTGTTAATAACAGCAGACATGAGTCATCAGGCCTGTCTTGCGTAACTGCGTCACTTCTCCACCCAACTTGCTGCTCGTACACCACACCCAGATTCATTCACACACTCTGCTCTGCTGCTGCCCAGCCTCCCATTGATGACAGGGAGAGCACTACTCATCCTGTTCCATGCTGCAGACGACAGCTTAGAGCTTATATAGAACTTGGATGGCAGAGCAGTCCAATCTGTGCAATAAAAAACAGGTCAAATTTTAACACATCTTTTCACCTCATATCACCTCTTAATGCAGCATCTTTGGTCAGTGAAGCTGGACTGGAGATAACTGGAGATAATGCAGTCAATGTAGTGTGTTATATTTGTCACTCTGTTGAGAATGGTTTGGCAGGAGCAGCTGTGCTTCACTGCTGATTGGGGTTTAAAATCCCATAAGTAACACAGACCATTAGGACTGAAGTGAGCTAACAGGACCCTCAGGGAGACAGAGAAAGAGATGGAGGGAGGTGGGGAGGCCTTTGGACGCTGTCATTAGTCAGGCCACTGACGTCACCTGCTCACAAAAAACACAGCCGACCCCATTTCACAAAACTATTGAAAGATCAGTTTCACAATTTTATTTTATTTATTTTTTCTTCCTACAAACGATGTTGGAAATGGATGGAAATGACCTCTCATCCTAACATCAGTCTGAAAATCAGAATGGGAATGTGTTTTTTTCCAAATACTATAATGAAGTAATGGTGTATTTGTGGTTATTTTCAAAGATTATTTTGTTCATTTTGTTAACATGAACATTTTATACTCTAAATCACCAGCAGCCTATCATCCTGACTGGACGTATATGTGTTTTTTATAGACTGGGAGAGATTAGCTGTGCCATGAAATCTCTTCATCTTCTAGTTCCTGTAACTGATCCAAACAAACAGATAAGACTGTGTTTTCCTGCTGACATCAAGTGGCCACAGTGCTAACTGCATGACTCCTCTGCTACTGAAACAGCAGCCTGTTCACCTGGGAATGATGCTTTACACAACTAACTAAAAAGGAAGTTATGAATATGTTTTTTATGTTTTGACAATGAATTCCTCATAATAAGGCACTAGAATCTAAAATCACTAACAGAAAAAAGTGCTTACTGTTTTTATTTCAGAATTAAACGCTTGTTGATATGAAATGATTTTTTCCCCTCTAAACATCCAGATATTTCAATGTATTAACACATATAGAATTACACCTGTTTTAACAACAGAACTGTTATGTCTTTGTAGTTAAATAGCATTCTTTATATGGACAAAGGCATCTGATTGTCAACTGGTGTCAGTCAATCCAGATCCCCTAACATGGGCACTAACATGATTAGACATAAATAGCTCCCGTCTCAATAGACTGTGTAACTAGATACTTACAGGGCAACCATGTGGATAGTTGACATGTCCCTCACAAGAGCCAGTATAGAATACAAATTACACAGATAAATCTAACTTTAGGGTAGAGAGCACAGTTTCACACAAATGTATCTTGTTTTGATTTTGCAACAATAATATTTCAGGCCTCATTTGCTTGTTTATTTGCTGTGTGAACAGTAGGGCAGGGCAGGGCAGAGAGACCAGCATGTGATCAGCCTGTAAAATCCTAAGACTGGCAAGGCAAATCAGGAATGACGCAGTAAAAGTGTTGTTTGTTTCTCAATACCAGCTGCCGATTTAGTCTCAGAGTTATAAAGTACAAACTAGATACACTGATGTGATCCTGTCTTGGACACTGTTTCCACAAATAATGATAAAAAACTACAGCAACAAAAGGACAAGATAACATGTCTGCAAGATTCCACAAGCTAAACACTTCTCAAGAATCTCAACTCTATTATTAAACTGAAAAATATGAGAAAATTAAAATTTTAAAAGATTATTCAAAGAAAATGAAAAACTGACAAAAAGACTGTTCTCATTGTTTATTGCATGAGTGCACATTGCAAGCAGACTTTTCATGTAGAACTATGCAGGCATTTGAGGGGCATGGGAGGGGAACAAAAAGTCCTGAGGGAATCTGAGTGATGATACAGAATGTATACGATGTGCACATCAGAACATGTACAGTATACAGACTGGATCCAGTGCGTTGCTCTATTAGTTTACCAGAGCCTGGTGTAAAACTATGTTGACTCATGGATACGTTCTGCTTTGTGCACAAATAAACATTTTTTGCCCAGCTAAACAATATCAGCCTCTCAGTAAGAAGATTTGTAAACTGGCTGTGGCATGTCAGAGATAAGATTTAGTTGGAATCAAATACAAAGTTTATATTTCAAGCAGCCAAACTGGTGTGCTATGTGGTCTCTATAGAAAATATACGTAATTTGGATACATTTACATAAATTCATTATACATGGGCTCCAAAAGTAGTTAAAAACTGTATTTACAACAATGCAAGAGACGGTAGAAAAATACAGAAACATTCAGCCACAGCATTGAACTGAATCTTGCAAAGTCGTTCCATGGTTTCTATCAACGGCATCCAAATCAGCTTCCAGTTTTCCACAGATGATCGTGGAATCACAGAGAAATACAAAAATAACACTTTGGATCTTCTCTTGTTCGAGATTACTCCACTCCTTTCATGAACTCCAAGAACTCTGTAAAATTAAGGAAGACAAAGTTAGCAAACAGCTCCTGAGCCCCAAAAAATTGCTATGAAACTACAAGATGCCTTTATCAAATGTGTGTATTTTTAAGGAATGAATGCTAAACAATAGATTATAGAAAATTTGCATAAATAACTATTTCACCATGTCGCTTCTATCAGTTTAACACAGTTCAAACTCCTCACCATCGTAGTCAATTTTGCCATCATTGTTCTTGTCCCCGTCTTTCATCAGCTCCTCGATGTCGTCCTCGGTAATCGTCTCTCCTGTAGATTCCAGCATCATTTTCAGCTCGTCCAGGTCAATGTAACCATCTGCATTCCTGCACAATCAAAGGATATATCAATCAAGTATATCAATGCACGTAATAATTCAAATTTTAGCTTCACAGATGGCAGTGGAGGAGGTGGTGAGTGTGTGTGACATGCGGCTGATCAGATCCTGCATTGAAGTATTTGAGAATCATCGCTGAGAGAGAAAAAAAAAGTATGGCAAATTTGTTCTTTGATGCTCAGACGAGGTGTCTGGCTTACACGGAGTGGGTGTTTGAAATATTCTGTGCTGTCAGAAAGGATTATGTAGCAAACTACATGCTGTACTCTGCAGAGCAACTTGGCATTTTGTCAGTACTCATAATTGCATGTGGGGAGCATACTTGATTACTAGTCTGTGGTGATTTTCAGATGATAGGATCCTCTCGTTGTAGCTGTTTTGCCAGGCCCATCGTTGTGCCAGTGAAGTGCTCTCAGGTCAAACTCACTTGTCAAACATGCGAAACAGCTCTGCGAGTTCTTCCTCTGACTTCCCTTTGCTGTCGTCCTTCATGCACCTCACCATCATGACCAGGAACTCGTCAAAATCCACCGTGCCACTCCCTGCACACATACAATGCACTTTTATATTATTTAACAACAAGCACTCCACTTCTCTTTAAAGACCCAGTCTATGAACAACCAATATAAACAGAATCTAACCAGAAATTACTCAAAAATCGATTGAAAGGTCTTTTAATTCAAGGACACAAGACAGTAGCTAAGTGTTTATGATTTGTAAAACAAACAACTTATTTTTGATCATTAAGTCAAACTCTCAAATATACATTAATGCCAACAACATGACTTAAATACTGAATCTTTGTCAAACCAATCCAACATGCTATTTTTTGTTTTTCATCATTACATCATATGGAAAATTCAAGACAACTTGTGCATCATCTGATACCCACTTCCCTTTAATGCAGCCTGACATGTCTTGTCGTTTGTAAGATCCTTGAATATCTTTTGACATTAAGTTCAGAGGCTTTGAGCAGCACTTGTCTGCACAACACGACTGCGCAATGATGGACCTGCCAGCAGCTCCGTGGAGACGAAGAGGTCAACAACAACCAACACATCATTTCATTTCTGGTACTGTAGCGCGGTAGAATTTTGATTTACCGTCTTCATCCACCTCGTCAATCATCTCCTGCAGCTCCTCTGGTGTGGGGTTCTGGCCCAGCATCCTCATTACCTTCCCCAGCTCCTTGGTGCTGATGCAGCCGTCCTCTGCATCTTGTACAAAGATGTCAAAGGCGGCCTTGAACTCTGCAACGCCACAGCAGCACACAGGGAAACAACTCTATGTCACCAACAAATGTGGCGTGAGCGTTGACAGGGTGAGCCACACTTTTGCAACAACCTTGCAACATCACGTATGATGTGCAGATTATAATGAACGGAATTCATATTTGAATTTTTGATGCATGCTAAAAGAGATGGATTACATGTGTACAGTCTGGAAGACTTTGTCATTTACGCACCATTTTTTTGTTCATCTGTCAGCTGCTCAACCTGTAAAAAGTAAAAAAAAATATATTGATGTTATGACTATATGTATCAGTTTGAGCAAAAGGTGTATTCAGTAGTGTTTCAGTCAACAAAGGTAATATTTTGACCCCACACACTGTGACATCTTCAACAAAACACAGAACCTGTATATCATATGCGAGAGCCAGTAAGAGGAGGGGTTAAAAATAAACAGACAGGAGGATCAGGAACCACAGATAAAGGACACAGTACACAGTGCTTTAAATTAGCATAGCTGTGGATCTGGCCCAACAATGGAACAGTAATCCTGGAAAAGCTACCACGAATGAGAGAGGGAGACAGCTGCTTATGTAAGAGTTATTGTCTGTCGTCCACTATAAATTAAACACACACACATGCAGACATGCTCAAACCCCCACTCCTGTGGTGATGATATACAAAAAAAATCTGTCTCAACAAACACTTGTAATACACATTCCTGTGTGTTTTTACTGTCTCATCTGCACCGCTCACTTGGGATGTGAGTGGATGGGACAGCCGGCTGACCATCTGGGTGGAGGTGGACAGCCACACAGCTCTCAAGCTCACAGATAATGCTGGAATTCAGCCGTGGGGGGTTTATCTAAACCTGAAGCCCCTTCTCTGGCACCAGAGAACCATGGACAACATGCCAAAATTAGCCACGTGAAGTGGCACTGTACCATTTGAAGTCAAGAATCAAGCAGCAGAGTGCGGGGCAAGGGACCTGTCTCGTCAGTGACCTCCTGAGTGGCTCCTATCAGCTCTGATAGGGCTGAAGTAGGAGAACATCTAGAGACTTATATGGTGTCAAGGCTCTTTTGACATCAGCTGGTGATGGAGGCAATGTGCTGTGTAAGCCGCATCAACAGGGATTTGTAAACCATTCAAGTAATGTCAGATGTCAGATGAACAAACTGATGGGGGACATTTTTATACAACAAATGAATACACAAGAACCAGACTATTCCATATGACGGCCACTTAAATAGAACAGAATAAAATGAAGGTCTTACATTGTAGATCACTGACCATATGTCACAAACTAATAATAAATGTTAGGGATTATGGTTTGTGATCCAAAACAACATCACTCTCATACCAGATTTACTTCACACACATTTTTGGTGAGCATCCAGCAAACTAAAATCACTTCATCAGAGGAAGCCAACCGCACACTTTCAGCTGTATGTGAGAGGACGTACCGCTGCCTTGTAGATGTCGTTCATGTTGGAGGCTCGTCTGGTGCCTGTCCTGATGGCGTCCTGGCTCAGAGGAAGGAGGTACTGTCGAACTCAGGGCAGGACACTGGTCTCATCCTGGGAGGGTTTTATAGCTGAAGCCTGGCGCTGTCTGGTCCCTCCCCGGGTGGACCAGCCTCCCCTCTGTTTGTACTTCAGCATGTTTCCACGAGTGTGTGTCTGTGTATGTGTGTCATTTGGCCAATCTGTCACAATCACCGGGCTCAGATAAAAATGCGGCAGCTCTTAGGGGGCATACTTTGGAATGGAATGAAATGGGGGGGGGGGGGGGGCATGCATGATGAAGCCTAATCTCCAGGGAGGGGGCTACAGACACTCAACATTCCTCTAGACCTGGACCAGAGACACAGAGGGCCCAGGAGGTTGTGTGTGTGTGTGTGTGTGTGTGTGTGTGTGTGTGTGTGTGTGTGTGTGTAGGGCAAGGGTGGTAGAGGAGGCAAGAGGGTGGAGGCCAGGATGGAGACGCAGAGTACAGCCAGCAGACCATGAAGGGAGGAGAAGAAGGAAGGCAACTCCATGGAGTCAGAGCAGAGGAAGGTGTGAGGGGTGTAACTGTGGTTCAGAAAGTGAAAGACCTGATCAGACAGGTACTTGCAATGCAGACTTTTTCATGGCAGACATTTTCACTTGTCATAGAAAAAAAGCACGGGGAAGTAATAATATAATAATATTATATATAATATATAATATAATGCTGGAATTATATATATATATAATTATTATAATAGTAATAAAATAATAGCTCCATTCCATTTAAGGCTTCTAGGGCACAACACCGGGCCCGTGGAACACCTAAATGGAATGCAGCCATTGTTGGTGTTATTATTTGCACCTGTGCCATGTCATGTTAAAATGTCTGCTGCAAAAATTGGTAAGGCAAATCACCTGTTCTGCAGCTGTCAGGGCATTTGCTCATTGTTATATGTAAGGGAAAGAGAGAAAATAAGAGAAATTAAAAGATCCATTCACCCAAGCGAAAAGTCATTTTCTCCTACCTACTTTCAGAGATTTTGACAGTGCAATGAAAGTGAATCAGATTTTGTTTCTGGTTCTTACAACACTAAATATAACATTTTAAACAGTGTGCCTGACTGGATAATCTACAAGCATATGAACAATTTCCACTGGACCTTTTTAATACTGAGGAAATAGTCCCTATGAAAACAGTGTGGAGTGTGTGTGTGTGTGTGTGGTGGTGTGTGTGTGTGTGTGTGTGTGTGTGTGTGTGTGTGTGTGTGTGTGTGTGAGAGAGAGAGCGAGAGAGTTCTGTGGATTAACCAGAGCAGGGGTTTTAAAAGTCTGAGACTGGGGCCCCCCTTCAGACAAAGCTTGGGAAAGCTTGGGAAGCTTTACAAATAGGAACATATAATTGCCTCCACATGTTTAACTACACAAAGTACACCTGCATTTATTTGCATCACATGCACAATGATACTGAAATCATACACATTAGATTTAGCCAGTGAAGAACACAACTCTGCAAGGCAATTCCCACGGTACATGATTCATGAGGATTTGAATTATTACCCTGTATGTGCAACACAGATATAGTCAGCAGAGGGTGCTGTTCACTATATATCGACTAAATTAAATTGTTGCGCAAGGCTGACTGGATATCCAATTTATCAACAGTAGAGGTAGGTGAGAAATCTGGGTCAAACAAACCAAACACTTGCAGACACATTCAAATTGAAGTGTACACAGTGCAATACTTTGCAGCATTTCCCCCCATGTTCTTTTGATACAAGGCCATGTCAATCACTTGACTGTGTGATTCAGACACACATTCACACACTTATTCTCACAAAAAGCTCTCACTCACACACACACTTACACTCACACACACACACAGAGCATGCTGTGGCAGGCAGTGATGAGTGATCATGCTGGTTCATAATGGGATGCTAATGGGGACTGGCACAGCTTACAAGCATCATACAGCCACTAGAGAGAGAGAGAGAGAGAGAGAGAGAGCTTACAATGAATAACATACATGTTCTACTCTTACACAGATAGAGACACAGATCTGACAAGACCTCACATCAGTGCACATCAGTCACATGCAAAGGTTGAGCCTCCATGGAAATAGGCAGGCAGCGAGGTGGGGAGGGGACATGGCGCGGAGGATAGGGGACATGACGCAAAATGAGATTTTGTGCTGGTTTTCCTTGTGTGTTTTCTCAGTCATTCGCCAACATTTCATGATCAAAACACACAGCACTGCATTGTACATTTCTGCTAGAAATGATTCGTCATCAATGGTACCAATTCCATCAGCTCAAACCCAAAGCACATGATGAGTGTACATGGTCAGCCTGACAGATTCGCTTGGATAGCCCCCCCCCCCCCCCCCCCCCCCCCCAGGACACATGCTGTAGTACCAAAGACTGGCACACACATCAAGAAAGCATATGGAGTGGTTTCATCGGAGCCCTCTACCAATTTCTTACAAGGAGGGCTGACGAAGAGCCAGCCATCTCCTCCACACAGCGCAATCACACAGCGCATCTCAAATCCACAATTCACCGCACACCGCTTTTTGAGGGGTTGCCATAGAAACTCTGCTGGGTAGAAGCGGGCAGAAAATGAGAGGAGATGAGCGGGGCTATTTCCCCCTCCACCTCCCTCTCTGCCTCCCTGCCACCACATTTTGTCCTCAGAGTAACTGTATTATTTTCTATTATTTGCCTCTTATACGCAAACATGCACATGTCAAAATTGCATACACATGTGGGGCTCACAATTAGGGTTAATAATGGTCATTTGTGCTCCAGATGCATTCATGCAAATTAACTAAATCCACAAGTCCAAATGATTACATTTCATGTCTCATGCTGAATACTGGAATACACTGCTTTCATTGATTTTATTCTTGCATCTAACCAGGTTATATGAAATGTACATGCACATTATGTTTGATAATCCTACTTAGCATGATAATAGTTATTTGACTGGCTTGTCATTTGAACAACTGAAATTCCTTCATCAAGCAAAATCTTTTTCTGCAGAAAACATAGATTCCAAGCGTGCAACATGTCAAAATGCCCAAGGCGTAACATCTCATGCTGGCAGGACTGAATCAGCTGGACTACATTTGTGAAGATCTACCACTATACACAGCATACATTATGTCAATTTAAATACTCGTGTGTGATAATGATTCGGTTGACGTGCAGCTGAGCTTGAAGCATAGGTCCTATACACTCTCTCTCTCCTCCTATCTGTATCCACACCTCCTTGATTGTCAAGGGGAGCTGAGCCTGTCAGCCTCTCTTTCTTTTCTCTTTATTCGTTCCTTCCTACCTCTCTCTATCCTTTTATTGATGAACGACCTGTCAGAAGCTCCTGTTGTGGCAGGCTGTGAATGCCCGGTATGTGACTGAGAGATACACAGTGTTTTTTTACCATGAAAGCATCTCTGCCTGTCTAGTGAGTGAAGCCCAATCTCTGATCAGCGACAATGTCTACCCAAATTGAGGGATTTGTCTTTAGGATGAGGGAGATGGTAGTCTTCACTTTGCTTCACTGCATTCAGTGGTTCCTTCTGAAACTCTTTGTGCTGAGGCACTCGCTATTACGCAGTGTTCCTTACATCAGAGCTCTAATAAGGCAGTGGCCACATTAGCTCCAGCACCAATAGAGCCACACACTAACTCTCTGCCAGGGGGGCAGCGTTTTCCAGTCCACTTGACCACCAAGTCGCCTACCACCCCTTCTACCCAAACCCACCTCCCCCCTATCCCTCCAACCTCTATAGTAGTGTATGAGGAGCAGTCAAGATGCAGTCTTGCGATTTATCATTGACCAAGCTTTGCAGTGCAGTGAAAAAATCTAGCAAGTGAAATAAGAATAATCACTGTAAAGTTTTTTTCTATTTTGGCTCAGTAATGAACACTGGTGTGTGTCATTGTCCCTATGAGAATGTATGAATGTATGTTATTTTATACAATAATGTTCAGAGCATCATTCCCTTACAGGTAGAAATGCTACCAGTGCAGTTGCTTATAAAAAAATATATCCACAAATACACAGTCACAACATACAAACATATATACAGTTCATAAGCAAACTTCTAGTTGTTAAGAAGGTGAAATATAAATGATATGTTTCCAATTTAACATGGATCTGATGGAGTTGTAAAATGGGGTAAGCTATGGTGAACACAACATATACTGTATGTTGCTATATGTATGTGGCTATACTATATTTTCTTGCTGCACCTATACAGTGTAATGTTGAATAATTGGAGGAAATCTACAATTATTGTTATTATTATATATATATAGCAGTGGGGTCTGTGGGAGAAAGCAGTGCACATGTCAAAAAAACATAAGGGTTAAAGGTATGAAGCAAGTACAATCATTTAAAATGACAATTTACATTTTAAGCCCCTTATGTAGCCTATGCCATGAGTTGGCTGTCTTGGTAAAAAAATATCCATGCACACACACACACACACACACACACACACACACAAACACACACACACACATTTTGGATTTGTCAGTGTCTCTGTCTTCTCCTCTTCCTCTCAAATCGCAGCTCTCTGAAATGGAATCTGCGGGCCCTCAGGGTTTCTGACAATGTTTCAGACATAAGTAGAATGAACAGCGGTATAACTTAAGCACTACTACATTTAAAAAGTTCCATTGAGAAAAAGCAGGTCACAATTTTCACTCTTCCACCCATTATCCCACCACTATTAGATTGCCAGTTGTCTTTCTGAGCTAAATCAAAGCTGAAGTACCACATTTCTGCAGTGAGATTCAGGAGAATGATGATAAAAATTTGGCTTTCATCTAACAGTAATAAAACATAATACATTAAATAGCACCATTAATATTGTAAATGGTCTTTTACCAGTAAATACATAAAAAAATAATTAACATCCTTATGAAAAACTATGTAAATGTTTTTTTTTGTTTTTTGTTTTTTTTGAAAATCATTATTGAATTGTACATCAACAG